CCCCGCCATCTATCCACTCCATTCACTGCATCCATGGCTTGAGTTTAATCAGTGGCACACAATAGGATGTCAGCTGCTCCAGACTGCATTGCTAGAGACGGGGCAGTGATGCTGTCACAAACCATTTGGGCGTGAAAGGCTCTTCTGGCTCTTTGCTTCTCTTCTCCAAGGTTGTCTTTGCTAATGGTCTCCTGGGAAGAGAGAGAAGAACTGTGAAAATCAAGTCATTTCAGTTGTGTTTATTTATAATTAAAATACCTTATTGGTTTCCTTTAAGTCCTGAGGATCATGGATATTAGAGTGCTTGAATGTGTGTGTTGGTGTGGGTGGTGTGTGCTGTGTCGTGTGTGTGTGTGTTGTGTGTGCTACATTTTTTTCCAAAAGGATTAATCTTGCCCTCAACACAGTCCGTACCCAGTGGGAGGAACATAATACCAGCGTAGTTCTCTAGTATAGAGGATACATGTACGTAATTATACATTTTCTCATTATTTATTATTAATTATTTTCTTCACTTTGCTACATCCAATAACATATTTAGTTACATGTCATTTGACAAACAACATTTTAGACAACAATACATAATGATCCGTTGGAAAAGCAGGCTACTTTTTTTCTTATTTAACCCCATTGCTGCCGTAACACACTGTCTACGGAAGTGTATGCAAGATGTTTTGGATTCAAGAATGTCAGCTAATGATAATTAAACAACATTTTCCAATGATGCTTTCATTAATTTTTTGGACATGTTATTATTGATACAAAATGGAAACCAACAGTGGTTATGGTTTTGCATGAGGATGATTATTCATATTATGTATATAGAAGTATGATTATTATGCTCGTACATATTCCATGTTATCAGTCAATACTAATTCAATTGCAGATGTGTTGTTTACTTTGAAGACTCAAGTTTCAATACTCTGATTGTTGATTTTCATATCATTTAGATATGAATGGATATCTCCGTTGCCTCGGATTGTTGAAAAAACAAAAAGCATGTATAACAGCTAAAACGTATTTACACTTTGCTTGATCATTGTCAGTAATTGGTATATCCACCATAGAGGCCATTTTAAATGAGTGGAATCGTAAATTGTGGTATTGCTACGTTTACTCCACAGGTTACCTCCCATTTTTGTTAAACCAAACAGACACTCTAATCCATGTGCGCTTTTGCTCACACACACACACACACACACCACACACACACACACACACACACACACACACACACACACACACACACACACACACACAGCACACACACACACACACACACACACACACACACACACACACACACACACACACACACACACACACACACACACACACACACACACACACACACACACACACACACAAGTGACAATGAAACACTGTCTCAGTCTGTTGTGTCTGGTTGGCAGGGTCCGTGCAGAGACACACACACACACACTGTGGAGCCATGGGCTGCGGGCTGCGAAAGATGAAGCCAATGTCGGAGGAGAACAGTCCGGGCAAGATTTACTCCACACTGAAGAGACCACAGGTGGAGACTAAGGTGGGCGTGGCCTACACCTACCGCTACCTGGACTTCCTCATTGGTAAAGACGGTAAGACGTGGATTTTTATTCATCGCTTAAAATGACAACTGAAGAATCTGTGACCTCTGGTTTTTGACAGGAAATGCAGCTAATTTATATATTCATGTGAATCCTTCTAAACCATTGAATTTATATTGGACATAAAGTATAACCTAACCCCGACTCCAAAGAAACTTAAACCGCAATTTCAATTATGTATCAAAGGAAGTGTTTTTCTTGTTGTTAACATTTTAAAATGGCAATTTTTATTTTGGTCTTACACAGAACACAAACTTTCTTGGTTGAATGTTCTGTTTTGTTTTTACCAATGAAACCCAACTCCCTCCTTGCACATACTATCTAACCCTGTGAATATAGTCTAACCAGGAGAAATTACATATCCCCTGAAAAGTACTTGGGGAAAGCTTTGTGGTATAAGAATGAATTTTTCAGGAGCCCATGTTTGTAAAACCCACCGAGTTCAGCACTACAAGTCTGAAAATCGCGGCACAGCAATAGTAGCTAATGATCAGTGATCCCCACAGCGTCATTTTACAGATACGTTAAGGCCATTTTGTGCTGGGAAGTTGTAAAAATCTAAATGATAGCTTGTTCCGAAATTATACGTATAGCTCAAGGCTTCTGGCATTTGGCTGCATCATACCTCAGCCTGATAAGAAGGCAGCATGCCTCACAAGTTCTGCAAGGGGCTGATCTGCACTGTGATCTACAACTTTCTGTGCTGTGTGGAGTATTTTACTGGATAATGCTACCTCCGGGGTGATTAATCTCTGTACTCCCTCCTGAAAATGCCATTATATCTGTGTCCTCAGTATAAAAACATTAAGCAGATGCAGAGGAAATCTATCACTCATGTATATGGAACAACAGCACACAGGCTGACATTTTCACAAGGATTTTATGGTCATGATGGAGTGTTAATTAGTGCCTCCCTGTATATTAGACACTGTTGTAATTTATTTTCTCACAATTAGTCAGTCATGCCTTTACGTTGTGCTAATTATATAGAAATGAGCAGCTTAATCCAAGCCAAACTTGATGCTGGCCATAAATTATGTATAGCACCAAATATAACCAACTAGCAGGAGAGGCAGACTCATTTAAGGGTGGCCTGCTGGGTAGGGAGACTGTTTCTTCATGGTTACAGGTGTGATGCTTAAAATAACACACTCATGTTTGTGAATCTTCCAAGATGGTCGCAGCGTGAGTAAGCGCATCTCAAGCTCGTCTGTTTGTCGCTGTTAAATTAGCTCTTTAAAGCTCATATCATTGATCCACATGATCTGAACCCATGAACATTTTAATAACATAACATAGTAAAGCGGCTCACTACGGTCTCTGGATTATTGTATTTTTTGCATTTGCAACTATGGAGGGAAACATGTCTCTGCAAACTTTGTGGGACGCGATTCAGCAAATCAAGACCGACATGCTGACTCACATTGACTCAAAAATGGATCCCATTCAAAATAACTTGAGCAGGATACACAATTCCCTGTCTAGTTTGGGAGACCGGGTCAATTTGTTAGAGCAGCGTGTCGGGGCTAATGAGGACAATGTACACGAGTGTGTCGCTCGAGTCAAGCAGCTTGAGAAAGACATCTCCTTCCTAATGTCTAAAGTTGATGACTTGGAGAACCGGAGCCGACGTTCTAACCTTCGCTTCGTAGGAATCCAGGAGTCCGCTGAAGGCAGTGACATTATCGGCTTCATGTCTCGGCTCATACCGCAGCTCCTGGGGCAAGATGCCTTCCCTACCCTGCCGATCATTGAGAGGGCACACCGCTCACCGACTGCCAGGCAAAACTCCCGTGCCAGCCCGCAGGCCATCATGATCGAGCTGCTGAACTTCCAGGACAAAGTGAACATCTTGCCAGGGAGAAAAAGTCTCTGGACTACAACGGGAAACACATCAGCATATATCCCGATTTCAGTCCCGAGCTTACCAGAAGACGCCGGAGCTTCGATCCAGTCAAACGCAAGCTCTCCGTGAACTCAACATGAAGTACTTTCTCCTCTACGCGCACCCTCTGCGTTGTTGTTGATGCACACAACAACGCTTTCTCTACCACAAAGACGCGGAGGCAATCTTCATGTCTTACCTCAACTCTCCTGGGTGGCGACATCCCCAGAGATGAGGCTGCTGCTAATGGTAGCATGTTGAATCCACTTCGATGGTGCAGCTAAGTGGACTTTCATCCTCGGTTTCTTCTCTTCTCTTTTATTTTTCTCATCTTCTCTAAAAACAGAGAACCTGTTTACGTGACGTGTCATGACTGCTGAGATGTTGGTTGACACTCTCTTTGTGTTTATTATAACTTAATATAACAGGTGGGCACCCGCCTGGCTCTTTCAGTTGAGTTGTTTGTTTACATTTTACAGTGACATTGACACACTTCTTCTTCTTTTGCATGTTAGAGCCCACTACTACTATTGCAATACTGCCCCGAGTGGCTGTTTATTGTTAAATAATGTTGTGTTTCGTTCCGGTTCGTTCGGATGAATTTTTTTGAGCTATGACTTCTTTAATCCTCTTCGTAAAGCAGACTGAGCTCTTGTGTAATTATTTATTATGTTTAAGTTTATTCATGGTAATGCTCTGGGATTTGGTGTCCAGGGCTGCTGGCCCTTCTTAAAGGTTGTTTGTGTTTTTTCTGTAATTTTCTTTTTGTGGTTTGAAATGTTTGTATGTTGTTTTACATTAATCGTTGTATCTTGCAATCCTTTACAAATCATGAATCACATTGTATGTGTAACAAGTGACAGGAACATTATTTGCTATTATTTCCAGACCTGGATGAATTAAAGGGTATAAAAAATCATTCATTTGATATCAGGAGTCTATTGCCCAAAATTGAATTTACTTCGGATTTGGGTTGTTCTAATATAACCTAAAATCATCACACTCTCTGAAACTTGGCTTAGTAGTAACATTTCCGATAGTGAACTAGAAATCACAAATTATTTGCT